GTTTGTTTTTCCTTGTCTTATTTTTTTCCTTCTGATTTGGAAACTAAATATTCTGTTTTTCCTCTTTGAGTGGTTACCCTATAAATTACAGCATTAATTAACTCTCCATTAGTTAACTTAATCAAAGTCAAAAGTTAGCTAGAATCTCTACCCTTCCTCTAAGACATTTTTCATTCCAGGTATCCTTTCCCAATTTCTTATAATGATAAGTATTTTAATTCTATCTTGTTTGTACGTGTTTTATTAATGAGAAATAATGCTATTATGCAAACAGTCCCCAAAACTGAGTAACTTACCCCGATAAAAGTTTATTTCTCACTCATCTCATAGCCTAAGGCAAGCAGACAGCTCTAGGTGGGACTCCAAGAAGTGACTTTGCCATGCCTGAAGGAAGATAGTATAACCTTCGAAGTTTTCCTCCCACTTGTGGGAGAATGGAAAGCCAAGGTTTGTTTTAAGGTTTAAACAGTGAAAGGTTTTTGCAGCCAGGGATTATGGTTTATTTCACAATACAATTACTTCCGAAACTTAGATGGCTTCAGACCTGTCATCTGCTACAAGAAGTGCTTTCTTTGACAAAGTTCTCAATTCTTCTTTATTTCTTTGCTTTACTTTCCCCACGCTTTTCTCTTGCAAGAGAAACAGTGGCTACACCATTACTATAAGCCTTGCTTGCCAAGAGTTGTTTCATTTAATTGGAAAATTTAACTGGTTTTCAACATTCGAAGACTTAATCTCATTGCTCACTGCCTGGAATCTGGAAGCAGTACAGTTCCCTAAATCGTCAAGGCTCTAAACTTCTGGATTATATTTCCTTTCATTTCCTATAAACCAGCTAAATGTTTCCTGAGCTCATCTCTTTCTTGTACTGTCTTGACCAACATAACCAATTACAGCTGATCCATACTAAGGTTTAACAGACCCTTCCCCTAGGGTTTCTGGATCATGATCTGCCTCAGAAGTTTTGCAAGCAATATTTTTGTGACTGAATAACATAGATTAACCTTCCCAGCCTTCTCCTATCAGTTTCCTTGTTGCCCACCACATGATTATTAAGCCAGTGCGCGTATTTGATGCTTTTGAAAAGGCAATACCTTTTTTCAATGAAACAATTTCTCCATCATTCGAGATAAGTGCAGCTAGCTGCAGTGATACCCTCTAAATCTATGAGTTAACATAATAGAGATTGTGTCTCACGGCACATTTAGTGCTTGTTGGGAAGCTGTCCTGGGAGTGTCTGCTTCAAGTAGTGACTCAGGGATCTGGGATTATCCCATATTGGGATGTCACCATCTTCAATTAGTGACCTTTATGGTGAACATGAAAAGGAAAGAAAAAGTGCAGGGGGTTTAATGACTGTGCCTAACAGTCATGTATATTACCTCTGTCTCCATCTCCATTCCACCAGCCAGAATCCACTAACATGACCCCAACTATTTGCAAGCAAAACTAGAAAACAGTCATCCTTTGTGTCTGGAAGGAGAAGGTGAATGGAAACCATATAACCAGTCTCTCCCACATCTCATAAGACATTGTTCTTGTGTCCACTCAATGTCTAGATTTATTCTCATACTCAGCACTTTCTTGCTCTTTATACCTTTGTTATGGAGCCAGAGGGGGCTCACTGCCCAATGCACCAGAAGCCAACACTATGATGCTGGAAGCCAAGACTATGACACCAGGTTTTTGAGAAAAGAAAAGCTTCATATTGCCAGCTCGCAGTAAGGCAAGAGGTCAAGCTCAGCTCTGTCTCCCTGTGCTATCTTCAAGGCAGTATTTTTATTAGAAGATGTTTAGTGAGCGGATACTGGTATTTCCACGTTTGGAGGAAGGGAAGGGGAGATTTGCAGAGTCCCTGGCCATGCACAGCTACCGCTTCATGCTAACTCATGGGTTCCATATGCAAATCTGGGGAAGTTAGTATGCGATATGACGTGGAAATTCAGGCAGTGACATCAGCAAGCTCATTGTGCACAAACTCCAGTCGGCCATCCTGGTTCCAACTGATTTCAGCCCATTTTTTCCTCATCTCACAAGGGGAGGGAGTTTCAGTGTCCCAGCCAGTTGTTTCTTTACCTATCTGCTATACTAAAAACTCAAGAGTTTTTGAAAGTTACTGATTTCTTACTCTTTGGAACACAGTTTGAGTTTCAGATTTTCAGTGAGTTCTTTCTTATCTGCTATGCTGTAAGCCTAAAAGTTTAGTCACTGATTTCTTTAACTCTTTGGAACACAGTTTGAGTTTCAGATTTTCAGTGAGTTCTTTCTTATCTGCTATGCTGTAAGCCTAAAAGTTTAGTCACTAATTTCTTACTCTTTGGAACACAGTTTGAGTTTCAGATTTTCAGTGAGTTCTTTCTTATCTGCTATGCTGTAAGCCTAAAAGTTTAGTCACTGATTTCTTTAACTCTTTGGGGCACAGTTTGAGTTTCAGATTTTCAGTGAGTTCTTTCTTATCTGCTATGCTGTAAGCCTAAAAGTTTAGTCACTGATTTCTTTAACTCTTTGGGGCACAGTTTCACCTCTCGTTTATTACACATTACTCCTGGGATCACTCGCTATCTACCTGAAGCACCTCCTTTAGAATTTCTTTTAGTAAGTGCCTTCTGGCAATAACCTCTCTGTTTCATTGATCTGAAACTTGCTCTTCAGTTTGCCAGTGTCTTTGAGAGGTATTTCTTATGAATGTAAAAGTCTAGTTGATGCTTATTTTAACTTCCTTCAGTGGCGCTATTATTCGACAGTGTGCCAGCCTCCGTTGTTGCTAATGAGCAGTCAGCTTTCAATTTAACTGTTATTCCTTTCTTTCTGGATGCTTTTAAAATCTTCTCTCTGCCTTTGGTGTTCTGCACTTTCACTGTAATGTGTCTAGGTGTGGAATTCTTTTCATTTAAAATGGTTAAGCTGCATTGACTTCTTGAATCTTAAGATTCATCACTTTCTTCAATTCTGGAAAGTTCCCAGGCATATATGGACAATTATAACTTCCACTCCATTCTATTTTTTCTCCTTCTGGCCTTTGATTAGATAGACGTTAAACTCTCTTGCTCTGTTTATTAAACTCTATGTCTCTTACACTGTTTTGATATTTTTCTTCTTATGTCTCTCTGGGTTACATTCTGAATAATTTATCCTGATATATCCTCAGTTCACTCTCTCCCAAACTGTGTCAAATCTGATGCAAACCTTCTCCGTAGTATTTTTAATTTTAAGTATTATTTTTCATTTCTAAGAGTGTATTTATTTTTCACAACTTCTTCTTATCTACAGCTTTTTAGTCTCTGCACATCGTTTCAAGTTATTATTTTATTTCTTTAACATATTATACCTAATTATGCTGTTATCTCTCACTAACAATTATATCATCTGAAGAAATGGAATGACTATTTCCACATCTGTGGTTTCTTCTGGATCTCATTCACTCCCGGTGACTCATTCCTTCTGTTTTTATTTGTTTTTTACTGCAACTCTGAAATGATTTTGAGGGAATGCTTTGAAATCTGGGATAAAGACAGGTTCCTCCAGAGAGTATTTGCACTTAATTCTGCTGAGCACTTTGTAGAATTGCTCTAACTTAAATTCTCAACTTAAAATACCTAGGTAGTGTGAATTCCAGCTAAAATCCTGTACGAGCATCAGTTCGCTGTTCCAGATTCTCAGTCAACTTTCCTCTTGTAGCTGGTACTTAGCACCAGCCATCCTTGCATTCTGCTGGGCTTGCTTGTGGTTCATCCTTATATGAAGGTTGTAGCTCTTTGGGACCTAGTCTTAAGGCAGGGAGAAATTCCTCCTAGGCTTACTTCCTTAGGCAGGCCATGCACTATGCTTCCTGCTACCAGTTACTAATGCTCAGTTTTTATTTGTGTTTCTCAGCTGCCTCTGTGACCAGTCCACAGAGTTGTTATAAGCCCTGCTTCCCATATTTGGAGAGTAATTTCCAGATTAGGTCAAAGGTGAACATGGACTCCCTCTCCTCCATCACCTAAAGAAGCGTATATAGCACTTGCTGTATAAGAGGATTAAACCTCCTCCCATGGGATTTACTCACTGATATGTGGGTGATAAAATTGTTGCTGTACTGTTCCGTTCAGCATTGCATCCTGGCACCTAAGCCACAGCCTGGCTCTTGGTAGGTGCTCCATAAACACACCCTGATTGATAGACTGACAGTTGAGCTCAGATTTTTTCTTCCAACAAATTAGAGAACCATACAAATGTATTTTAAAACATTCATACGTTTTTATGCTTGATGCCTTTGCTGTTTTGTGAGATTTAGCATATTTGAGTTTATAATGAAGGCTTTTTGGATCTTCATCTTTTCTCAGTAACGAAACCATTAGTTCCATGACAGCAAAAACCCACATAGCTCTCTGCATATGCATACACCTCACAGGCCAGCACAGTACCACGCACATGCATGGCTGGTGTTCCGGGTGTTAAGGTAGGTTGGTCAGTCAGATGAACGTGTGAATGCTGGGTCCTTGAAATCATGGACACTTGCAGTTTCAAAGCTGGTTGGAGCAACAGATGTTGTCCACTGCCCCAAGATGAGAAGATGTTTGCCAATACCTATCAAATGCAGAGGGTCATCCTCTACCCGAAGGAGGCTGGTCTCTCTTCAGGTCAAAAATAAGCTTGTTGTTACTTATTTAGAAGCCCCCTCACACCCACCCCACCACCGCAGAAGAGGCCCACATTCAGGAGGGATCAGGCTTGTGGCTGTGGAACAGAGTACAGATGGCAAGGCCATCACCCCAGTGTAAGACCCTGAGTCAGCCACAGTCAATGAAGCATGTTGATACTTAGGAACCACAGAAGGCTGATCGTATTTTTGAGTAATTGATCGAAGAAAGGTCTCTGAAAGCAGCTTCCAGAAAACGCCCTTGTTTAATGGGATGAGATGCTTGTGTTTTTCCCAGGTCTTTGGTTTCCAGCCAAAACTTTAGATGAAAGGTGATGAGCACAGCTACCAAAACCTGACAGTCTCTGTGTCTCTGCAGCTGCGGGTCTTCAAGCTGGCCAAGTCCTGGCCCACCTTAAACACGCTCATCAAGATCATCGGAAACTCGGTGGGGGCACTGGGGAACCTCACCATCATCCTGGCCATCATTGTCTTTGTCTTCGCTCTGGTTGGCAAGCAGCTCCTCGGGGAAAACTACCGTAGCAAGCGGAAAACTATCTCTGCGCCCCACGAAGAGTGGCCCCGCTGGCACATGTGCGACTTTTTCCACTCTTTCCTCATCGTCTTCCGCATCCTCTGCGGAGAGTGGATCGAGAACATGTGGGCCTGCATGGAAGTCGGCCAGAAATCCATATGCCTCGTCCTTTTCCTGACGGTGATGGTGCTGGGGAACCTGGTGGTGAGTGGTGAGCCCTGCTGGGGGCACTGCCTCCTGGGGAAAGGAGAGGCTTCTGGGTTATCTGAGAAAGCTTTGGTGTGCATTTTTATGCCCAGATTGTACTTCTCTGGTTGAAAAGTCTTCAAACTTTTCAAATTCATGTGGGATTCATTACAAGTGTGCCTTGGGAGGTAGCCTGATTTGCAGGAATGAGAACAGGATCAAAAAGGAAAGTCCTAGGTTGTGACACCAGGCAAGAGACAATCTCAAGCTCTGATTTCCTTAAACATCAAGAAAATAGTGCTTACTCATGGGTTTACTAGGAGAATTTAAGTGACAGGAGATGACATATGCAAATTGCCTAATGCAATGTCCAGGCCAGGCAGGAAATGGTAGCTATTAGTTATTGAGAGAAAACTGTTCTTCCCCACACAAGGGGGGCTCAGAAAACACTTCTATTCAGGGAAGGGAGAGCTGACTGATTTCTCTAAGCTGCACAGGTCCTAGCTAGGAGCAGGGGGAGAGGCTGCAGTAAGGGGTACAGTGGGACGAGACAACAGAGAGAAGCCGGTCACAGACAACATCCAAGGCCATGGGGCTAAGAACAAAATCTAATTCCAGGTTTGGAGGGAGCCTTACTTGCCAATTAGCCCCAGTACCCCTTCTCTGCCCCAGCCTGGCCCTGCCCTCTGCTTGTCCTCACCCACTCTGGTCACGGGGATTCTTGCCCTCCTGGGACTGGCTGGCTGTATGGGAAGATTCAGTCTTCCAGAAGCCCCTTTCTTATTGCTCTGGACATCAACCAACTTGGATTCTTTCCTTATGAGAGTTTTATAGACAGAAGAAAGCTAAACCGAGAGAAGGGAAGAAACAACAAATCCAGACTCTAGTGTTTTTCACCCCGGCCCCTGAGCCAGACATGCCTCTGCTGGCATCCCAGAAACTCTGTTCCTCCAGGCTGAGCCCACCACCCCTGCAGAGCCACAGGTGCCCCTTGCCCCCAGGTGAGGGACTTTGCCCCTCTGAGCGAACTTGGATCACTTCTCATGTTATTTTGTCCTCACAACCACTGTTCACCTGCTCTCAAGTGAAGAATGGGAAGCAGCGACACACGCCCAGGATTCCAGAGCTGGGGACAGAACCCAGGGCTTTGGCACACGAAGGTGGTCACAGAAAGGGCTGGTGCCTTCTCTTTGTTGTCCCTAAATGTCCCTGTGTCAGCAGGGGGCTCCTCCGTTATGGTGGAAAATGTGCTTCCAAGCCTCGCCCACTGAAGCAGGTCAGTCTGGGACGTCCCCAAAGCTCCCCTCTACTGCTCTCAGAATGTCCATTCCCCCAAAAGGGGCAGCATCCCGGGTAGGCAGGGAGAACCCAGGCCATGGCTATCCTGCCAGCCAGCTGCTAACCTGGTGGGCCAATGTGGGACTCAGCTTAGTGATTGATCAATCTTCCCTTCCACTCCTTCTCCCCAGGTGCTCAACCTGTTCATCGCTCTGCTACTGAACTCTTTCAGTGCAGACAACCTCACAGCCTCAGAAGATGATGGGGAGGTGAACAACCTGCAGGTGGCCCTGGCACGGATCCAGGTCTTTGGCCGTCAAACCAAGCAGGCCCTTTGCAACTTCTTCAGCAGGCCCTGCCCGCTCCCCTGGCTCAAGGCAGAGCCCGAGCTGGTGGTGAAACTCCCACTCTCCAGCTCCAAAGCAGAGAACCACATTGCTGCCAACGCTGCCGGAGGGAGCTCTGGAAGGCTCCCCGCTCCCAGAGGTCCCAGGGATGAACACAGTGACTTCGTCGCTAATCCTACTGTGTGGGTCTCTGTGCCCATTGCTGAGGGCGAATCCGATCTTGATGACTTGGAGGATGATGGTGAGGAATATGCTCGGTGCTCCCAGCAGGAAGTGATCCCCGAAGGTCAGGTAAGAGCTCTCCTCACGGGAAGCCACAGGCAGTGGGGAGGGGCCCCAGGGCTTGAGTAACACAGGGCAAAAGGGAAATGCACAGAAGACTTTGATGTAAAGAAGCTTAAGCCATGCCAAGCTTTCCAGAGGAGATTGCTTTGAGCAGAGCCTGGATGAGAAGGTCAGAATTCCCCAGGCAGGCAAACAGGGAGTGGGGGGCTCGGGGCAGCAGGTGAACAGCAGGCCATCTGAAGGTGTTTGGGAATTGTCTCTGACACAGCTGCCCCATTCATTCCGCCCAGCCAGGCTCTGTGCATGAGATGCTGATGAGATTTCTCTAAGAACAAGATGTCCAAGGGCAAGGCTCATCTAATCTTCACCAGCAACCCAAGAAGTCCTGATTCTTACGTGACTCATTTGACCAGCTTTTCCCCACAAGTGATATCGTAGGGAAATGACACATTCCTTTTGGCACCAACAAATTTAAAGCACATTGAAGCCATTTGACAATATATATTTTTAAGTACTTGGCACCATTCCTTACTACCTTAAGCTGGTATATCAACCCTCGTCAACCTCTTCTCAGTAACTCAGGGCATGCACCTCTGCCCAACGTGGGAAGGCAAGGATCCCTGTGGAGCCTCAGGAACACAGGGCTGCTGGCCAGGTCACTAAGTGGTCTAGAAATGCTGTGCTTTGGGTCTGGAGCTCTCCCATAGCCTTCTTCCCTGCAGTTGTCACTTGTGTTCCAGCAGCTACTGTTATCAGCTGCCATATTTTACATGCCTTTGTCTGGGTGACAGCAGAGGGCAGGGCATCACCATCCCCAGAGTAAAGGACATGAACTCTGTGACAGCTGTCTGCCACTCAGAAACATTTTCAGTTACTTTGGGGCTCTGAGGGAGCTCCAGCTGGCCAAGTTCCCTACGATCCTAACCTCTGGACAAATAACAGTGGTCATGGCTAACATCTGTTGAGCCAAGCACTTCATGCAGAGTGTTTTACAAGCACCAACGTGTCTAGTCATCACAACAGCTGAATGATGCTAGCCTTCTCAGTTTTGAAGATGAGAAAAATGAAGATCAGAGAGGTTAAACAACTTGCCTAAGGTCACACATCTTATAACTAATGGAGCCAAGGATAAAACACAGATCTACATAGCTACAGTCTTCATGCTCACTTCATGCACGTGTATGCCTGTCTGTCTGTATATGAGTTGCATATCCTTCTAATTTAGAACTGGTCATCTAAGGGTGGGACCAGGCTCCCAGCTGGAACCCTCTGTCACTAGCAGGAGCTACTGCAGCAAGTCGAGAGGTGTGAGGACCTCCTGACACCCAGGAGCCCACGCTCTGGAACATCATCTGAGGACCTGGCCCCATACCTGGGTGAGACGTGGAGAAACAAGGCTGTTCCTCAGGCCCCTGCAGAGGTAGGTATGTGAGCTTCCTGGAGAGGTTGAATAGCCAGCCAGGCACTGACCAGTGGGCTGGTAGAGGCTGGAGGGTGGTGGTGAGGGTCGGGTATTCCAGGCTACACTCAACCACATAACCTCATTTTTCATCCTGGGAATTTTTAAAACCACCCTCCCTGCAACCTCCTGCCAATCCACACAATTTCCACTTTTACCATGCCATCGCCACAGTCTCACTCCAGGACAGTTGTAGGGAGAGGAAGAGTGAGACTCCACAAGGTGTGGGACTTAAGACCAGATCCTAACCCTCTCTGAGCCTCCATTTCTTCATCCATGAAACTGAATGGTAATGCCTGTTTGGTAGGATTATTTTGAGGCTTAAATGAGATGCTACTTGTCAAATGTTTAGCTCCTGCCTGAAAGAAAGTAAGTGCCCAGAAAATGACAGCCAAGAAAAAAGGAAACAAAAGGCGAAGGACAAAGAACGTCAGATATTTTCCAGAGCCAGCAAATAAGGTTGGAGGAGCGCATGGAGGAGGAAGTCTTCCCTTGTGATTCTTCCCTGCTTTATTTTGTCCAGGTCATTTTCTCTAGGCAAAAACAGCCTGGGGCTGAGGAGGGGCTCTCTACAGGTGAGTGGTCAAGGGGCAGCCTCGTAGAGTCTGAGCTGTAGGATCTGAGGTTTAGGATTGTCTTATAACAGGTAAATAGAAATGCTGTGGCTTCATTTATAAATATTGAAGAAAACAGGGAAAGCTACAGGGAAGCTACGGGGAAAGAGGCGTCTTTAATAACACTGCTTTCAATTCAAGAGTTTAATTTGACACCTAGCCACTGAGTGCTGACTGTGTGACAGGCACCGGGCTCCACAGAGATAAGGAAGACATAATTCATCCCCAAAGTTATCAAGCCCTTCAGCTTGAAGAATGTCAGCTGCTGGCTGTGTGCCCCAGGCAAGGCTGGCCACAGCAGGGTTAGATAAGAGGGAGGGCTGAGACGGGCTCTGGGGGCTGTGGACGAGCATAAGCCGCTCGGTTCCCACTGGGTGAAGGCTGCCGCATTCTGCCTGCGGATGTCGTGCTTCTTCCTAAATGCTCCAAGGACTCCCCCGGCCAGTCGTCCCTACTCAATGTTTTCAGCACACAGCTTCTGGGCGTTGGTTTTGTTTTTGTTTTCTTGCCCATGACCCTGGCTAGGCAGGAGGGGCCTGACAGCGACAGATGGGGACCCGCCCCACCATTTGGGTCCATTAGCCAAGCTATCAGGTTTACTAATATGAGAGCAGCTTCAACTCCTAATTGAATTCATCTGGAGACATTACAGGGCTGGAGCTGCCAGGAGGGCAGCAGGCCCCTGCAGCAGCACTCCGTGATTAAATATTCAAGCCCAGTGAATGCTGAGAGTCGTTATGGTGTAATTACGGTGTCTCGGGCCATTGCCAGCACTCCATCAGGGGCCCAAAGGTTTACAGCCTCACACAGCTAAGCCTCTGGGGCTCCAGGGAGAACAGCAGTGTTCCAGGCCTCAGCTGGCCAGGCACCAAACACGGGTACAGTTGGACCGGCCGTGACCGCATGAGATTGCCCAGGCCGGGCGGAGAGACGAGTTCACTGCCTTGGGCTTCTCTCCTGCAGGGAGTGGACGACACAAGCTCCTCTGAGGGCAGCACGGTGGACTGCCCAGATCCTGAGGAGATCCTCAGGAAGATCCCCGAGCTGGCAGATGACCTAGAAGAACCAGAGGACTGCTTCACAGAAGGTAAAGGGCCAGCCACAGGCCCCCTCACACTGATGTTAATTAGGGCCAGAATCCAGTTGAACAAACACTCACCTGGGCACCTCTGGGTCCAGGGCGCTGGCCTGGGGTCCACAGGAGACAAACAAGCCATGCCTACTTGCTGCCTCACTGCCAGGCTTGAGGGCACCAGCATCAGACACACATGCCCCAGCTGGCAGCAGCCTGGCCGCGGTATCTGCATCCCATGCCCTGTCAGACACCACGGAGAGACGTGTGCCTTCCTTGTTACCCTCAAAAACCCCTCCCTGAGTTCTAAACCAGACCTCTTGGTCACCACCATAAACATCACCGAAAACTCTTGATTCGGACCATGAAGGACCCAGAGGAGGGCTGTGATGTACCTGCTTCCCTCAGTCTTCTGTTTAGCTCTTAAAAGCAGAACCTGTGTCTTAGTCATCTTTCTTCTCAGCGTTTAGAGCAGTGAGGGACATTATATTCTCAATAAATACTTGTGCAATGAATGAATCAAGAGTTCATTCTATGAAGGGAATTGTGGCCTCGATGGTTTCTAAAAACACATAGACAAAATACTTTAAACACTTGAGTTTCTATTACTAGTTGTATTTGATCCTGGGATGGGCTGGACCCAATCCCCATCCCAGCCATGCCATGGCCCCTCAGATCAGCTTGGGCTCGGAGCCCCCCTCAGACACTCCCAGGCTCATACCCCATAGCTTGTCTGTTTTCCAGGTATAGGTAGGCAGAAGGACAGGGACTGCTGGTACCATCTGTAAGAAGGACATGGCTAGGAAAACATCAGAGTGTGCAAGACTGATGATGAAGAGGAACACCTACAGGTCTGGATTGAGGGACTGCCTGGAAGGGAGCCCTCTTCTCCAATACTCCAGGAAAGAATTCTTTTCCAAGGGGATGAGTGGGTTTCTTAGCAGAGTGGTTTCTCTGCAGCAGGAGCAGAAATGATCCCCTCTGCCCAGTGGGCATCACCCAGCATCAGCCACCTCTCCCCACAGGATGCATTCGCCGCTGTCCCTGCTGCAAAGTGGATGCCACCAGTAGTCCGTGGGACGTGGGCTGGCAGGTGCGCAAGACCTGCTACCGTATCGTGGAGCACAGCTGGTTTGAGAGCTTCATCATCTTCATGATCCTGCTCAGCAGTGGATCTCTGGTAAGGGGAGGCATAGTCCTTGACCCCAAATCCTCCAGATAGGAATCTCCTGCAATCCAAAGACCCTGGAGCTGCATTGGTGGGTTCTCCTGACTCCTGAGCAGAAAGTCCCCTACCTGTCACTGGAAGAAGAGCTGCAGCCCAGGGTAGGGCCCCTCTTAGCAGCAGGGCACGGGGGGTGTTCAAGGTGCCCATGCCCTGGCCTGACAAACCTGGCTGCAAGCCTTTGAGTGAGAGTATAAGCATCTCCCCGTAGAGATAGGGAAACTGACACTCAAAATGTTTAAAAGACTTGTCCAAGGTCCAACTTGTCAGTAGCAAAACCCAGCTTTGCCTTTATTTAATCCCAAAGCCCCTGGCTTCCCATCCTCTGACCTCCCCATACACGGCCTTCTCTGAAGGCCTATAGAAGTACAAAGAGGACTATCTTTCCTTATCAAACCACTTCCAAATGCTACTAATTACTCCTTTAAAGCTCACAGAAAGTCATTACAGTCGCGCTCCTCAACATTTGATCCCCCCAGGAGCTTGTTCAAATGCAGATTCTCATTCCAAGATCTGTGGCAGAGTCTGAGAATTTGCATTTCCAACAGGCTCCCAGGTGATGGTGGCGCTGCTGCCCTCAGTGACCCACACTTCGAATAACAAGGCCTTATGGGAATAGAGATTCCCAGTTGGGAGACATATCTAAGGGCCTGGCTGAATACTGGGCTTTGTAGAACAAAGAAGGAAGTTTCTCTCTGTACTGTGGCTTAGCCTTCCTACACAATCTCAACTACTCCCCCAATAGACCAAGGTGGACATAGACACAGGCAGAGGCTTACCATCCCCAGTTGTCTGCATTTTCTAGATGAGGAAGTCGAAGCCCAAAGGCATGAGGGGCTTCAGCTAATTAGTTGAAGGACTGGGACTACAGTCCAGGGTCACAGGTAATTAGTAGAAGGGCTAGAACTACAGTCCCACTCTTCTGATTCACGGCTCCCAGTGATTTCACTCATCTTAAGTCTCATGTGTCATTTACTGTCTAAAAACCACCTACTAGGCCGGGCGTGCTGGCCCATGCCTGTAATCCCAGAACTCTGGGAGGCCAAAGAAAGCGGATCACAAGATCAGGAGATCGAGGCCATCCTTGTCAACATGGTGAAACCCCGTCTCTACTAAAAATACAAAAATTAGCTGGGCGTGGTGGCACGCCCCTGTAGTCCCAGCTACTCAGGTGGCTAAGGCAGGAGAATCACTTGAACCCGGGAGGCAGAAGTTGCAGTGAGTTGAGATCATGCTACTGAACCCCTGCCTGGCAACAGAGCAAGACTCCATCTCAAAAAACAACAAAAGAACACCTACTAAATATCTGGGCCTCCACCTAAATGCCAGATTGCCAGGGAGGGTGACAAAACTGCTCGTTGTGTGGCCTCAGCCTTAGGGAGGAGCACAGGTGCAGGAGAAGGCAGGATCTGAGAGGTGAGCGGGAAACCAGGGCGGCCATAGTGCAAAGCCAACGGAGAAGAGTTTCGGGGCAGGGACTGGTCTGCCATCTTGGGTTCAATGGGGAAGGTGAGGCAGCGGCTGCAGGTGCCCAGTGACCTGGCACAGGGCGGTCATTGTCCTCACAGACCTCAGCACAGTGCAGAGGCCGAGTTGCAGAGCAAGAGGGGGCTGGGCAGTGCTTTGTCCACATCTACGCTCCTCTCCTTCCCGTCCTCCTGGATTAAAATAATAACCACATGTGCTATGGGCCAGATGCTGTCCTCACTGCCTCACTGGCTTGTGGGCTTTCTCTCCTCACTTCTCTTCTCCACTCTCCCTTGCTCCCTCTCTTCTCTCTCTGACCCCCTTCTCCTCACACCCAGGCCCACCCCCCACATTCCCAGGAGGAAGCTCAGACCAGCAGCACTGTTCCAGCCCAGCCCGCCCCCCTGCAGCCCTCCCTTCCCTCCCATCTCCTTCCCCATGGGACTGAACAGGCTGGCACCAAATTTAGTCTTCTTTAGGCTTTCACTTTGAGTACCTTTTAAAAATAACATGCATTTTCATCTGACAAAGTAAAGTACCAAAAAAATACTTGGAAATTATAGAAAAAGGTAAAGAAGAAAAAAGTCATCCATTTCCCTATCACTCAGAGAGCTCACTTTGAAAGCATTCTGGTATACCTCCTTCTCATCTTTCTTATGCATAAACTATACACACATTATAAAAATAAAACCACATTCACGCTTTCTATAGCCTCAGTACATTTTCTCATATTATGTCATTTAATGGCTATGGCATATTCCTTTGTAATTTATTCAACCAATCATATGTTTACTTCTAATACATGTGGAATATTCCCTATGTGTACTCCCCCAGAGATGCTGGATAATCTCCTGTCTTAGTCCTGATCCCAGACGCATAACTGGAAGCTAAGAAAAGATGTGGGTTCAGTTGAAATCCGACTTCGGCTGATCCCACGGAAAGTGCTGAAGCAGAGAGGGCACCACAGAGCTGTCCCACATTGAGGGAAAGGAGGCAGCCTTGCACACCCCGCCGCCAGTGTCCCTGGCTGAGGGTGGCCCCAGGGGGATAAGCATTTTCCAAGGTGGACACAGTTCCCTCCAGCCCTGCAAAGCCATTAGGTAAAGGAGGTGTCTGCATCGATGAACTCTTAGCAGCCGACACTCCCAGCAGATGAAGGATGGGGCAATGGCCCCTTAGAGAGGACCTGAGTGGGCACCAATGGCCTCCAGTGTCCTTAGGATAAGTGCTTGAAGGAGGACTTGCTGGGTTCCCGAAACCCTCGAGTCACACTGACAATTTGGCTTCACCCAGGACTGGCCCGTGTGAAGAGTGGCAGCTCCCCACAGCCACAGCATCCTGGGGCTTCCCCCACTCTTTTCCATCTCCACCCGTCTGATAAAACAAAAACGGCGTCATCTTTTAATTAGAATTTCCTTGATTACCACTGAGATAGAACATTCTTTTTCAGAGGTGTGTTGGCAACTCTTACTTTCACTTTTGTAAACTGCCTGTGAACATCTGTTGATGGTTTTATTTTTAAACAAAGTCACTGTTAGCATCCTTTTGGTTCACTTCCAAAGTCCAATTTGAGAAGGTTTTCTCTCTCCCTTGCATTCAGCATCCCTGCAAGTATCAGCAGGGCTGCGTGTCCCTGTTGGCCCTGAAGAAGCCATGCTTTGTAGCTCACAGTACCTCCTCCGCCATCCTCCCCACAGCAAACAAAATGCTACCGGCAAGCTGGCTACCGACTCCTCTTCCAGGGACTGTGGACAGGGCTTGCTGGGTTTGTATAGGTCTGGGCCCCAGTGCTGTGGGTCCAGGCACCTTGCCATTCTGCATCCTTTCTTCCTTCCAGGCCTTTGAAGACTATTACCTGGACCAGAAGCCCACGGTGAAAGCTCTGCTGGAGTACACGGACAGGGTCTTCACCTTTATCTTTGTGTTCGAGATGCTGCTTAAGTGGGTGGCCTATGGCTTCAAGAAGTACTTCACCAATGCCTGGTGCTGGCTGGACTTCCTCATTGTGAATGTGAGTGGCTCAGTGGGAACATGTGGGGTTTAGGGTCCCCCCTCTGATTCCCGCTACAGCTAGTGCAAAAGAAGCTCAGAGACCTGGCCGCCCTCATGGGCTACTACGAAGAAAAGCTTTGAGCATTTAGTGAGAGTCTGAGAATAGCCCTGCACACACCCATGAGTGGTAAAGTCCAGGCAGCACATGATTGTGACACAATAGTGACCGTTAGGTGAGTTGTTAGGTCTCTATTCCGAAGACCACTGCAATCCTCTGCATTTTACATCCAACGTGAGATGACGCATGCCGCTGTCAGAAGTCTTCTGGTCCTGCTTCCACAGATGGGGCTTCTGGACCTCGGGGAGCCATAAACTGTGAGCGCAGAGCATCTTCCCACCTGCTGCTCTGAGGTCCTCACATCTGGCTACACTTTAGAATCGCCTGGGGAGCTCTGAAATACGCAGCGAACGAACATGACTACCCTAGAGATTCTGATCTTACTGGTCTTGGGTGGGGCCCAGGCATCTGTATTTTATAAATGCTCCAGGCATTTCCAAAGTGCAGCCACGGTGAGAACCACTGGGCTTATACAGCTGCCTCCTCCCCAGTGGCACTGAAAGGGAGAGGTAATGAGCTGGAGTTCATGTGTTCAGCTGCGACCAGCAACCCCTGCAGGAAGGAATGTACTGTGTGCTCCTCACATCAGACATGTGATTCCCCAGCATCATCTCTTCCTCGTCCTAACTACGACATTGCTCAGTCACTGTCTAGGCCCTACCTTCTTCACTTTGCAACACGGTTACCTGAGTTATTTGTTCACTGCCGCATAACGGAGAGTTCCTGCAAGCAGGGTGAGGCATGTGCTGTGTTTGTCTCTGCCTGCTCAACTCCAGCAGCTGCCAGCAGCAAGGTCTGCATGGCAGAGGTGTCAGGAAATGTGTCTGTATTTGGTGCTTGCCTCCTGAAGCTGGACGAGGTCCAGCACGGAACATCCTGTCCATCTTCCTGTGCTGGCAGGTCCTCCACAGCAGGTCTGTGCATTCAATGCTCTTCTTCCCTGTTGCCAATGCTCTAGCAGACTTAGGCCACGGTACCGCAGGGATTAGCTGTGAGGCCTGAAACCTGAGTCACGAGCGATAATTCTGTGCATATATAATAATTATCCATAAATGAAAGGAAAATTACTTATTCTGGTGCCGCACCCCTGTTAGGGGCACAGTCACTCCTGTCTATGTCAGTCTCAGCAGTCTCAGTCCTCGTCACCTTAAACAGTCACGCACTCATTCCATCCATCCTCCTGTGATTCTTCCTTCCAACCATCCTTCCTTCCATACATTTCTCCTTCTGTCTTCCCAGTGATTCAGTCTTCCATTTTCCTTCCTCCCAAACATCCGTCCATCTTTATTTCTTCCAGCTGTACGCCTCCGTCAGTCCTCTCTTTCCATCCCTCCGTCCATTCCCATTCTTCTTTCCCTCTTCTCTTCTGCCCAGTCATTTACCCTAAACTTCCTGCCATCTCTTCATCATCCTTAACCCTTATATCTTTCTGTCTTTGGTTCATTCTTCTATCGCACTGTCCAGTCATCTAATGCTCTGCTCACCCATTCGTGCATCTTCCATCCAAGCGTCCTTCTGCTCACTCATCCTTCTATCCACTTATGCTTCCATCTTTCCATTTTGCTTCAACCATCCATCTATCCTTCCTGTCTTCCACTTATCTGTTCATCATCCCTTTCGCTTTCATTCATCATCCATTCATCCATCCTATCAACCTTCCAATCATTCACTAATTTCTTCCATTCATCTGTTCTATCCAACTCCCCATCTTTCCATTCATGCATCAGCCATGTCACCCAGACATCCATCCTTTTCCTGTCCCCCCATCTCATCTATCCATCCACTATTCCCGGCTTTCATACTATTTTCTTTCTTCGTTTCTTCCATCCTTCCGTTCAACTCTCTATCCTAAGGGTGATCAGGTGCCAGTGAAGTTTCGGAGTAAGAGAAAGACATGACCATAATCAGATTTTCAGTGAAGAATAGATGCCTGGATGCAGTACTGGGGCCTGAAGATCACTTGGGAGGCTGGTGGGCTGAGCAGTAGGAACGGAAGTGGGCTTGGGTGGATGGACTTTACTGGAGAGGTACCAGCACCTGTCTGCCACAGCTGCAGATGATCCATGTGAGGCAGACTTCCCAGGGGTCTGAGCAAAAGACTGAAGAGGATTCAGTGTGGCACTGACCCCAAATCTTGCCCTCAGGCAGCAAGGCAGTTGGGTTTCACCTGCTGGTGTCTGGAGCCTTGCATGAATGAAAGAAGGGGGTTCTTTGTATTCCAGTTCTTTGTCCTGGTGGAATAAGACACTCATCCAAAAAACAGGCATTGGTTGGGGCTCTGGCACTCAATTATAAAGCCCTTCTTTTCAGAAGCTCCTATGTACATCCCACCTAGCTGCCAGGATAAACTGAGCCTGAATTCAGCCCACCATCCATGGCGTGGCTAAGATCTCACAGGCTCAAGCCCGTGTACATGACATCTCCCTGGCACCTTCATAGTTCCTAGAAAGGATGACCTTTTTTTTCCATATCAGTTTTTGTCCTTTGCCATCTTTGGACTACCACTTAGTTGACGGACCAACAGGGGCTTACCAGCCAATCAACGTATCTCAGATATCTACCGAAGCAGATAAAATCTCACGGACATATACCAGAAATGTCTGAAGAACTACAGAGCGATCAGAACTTTGGAATTCTCTTAGTCTGATTTTTTTCATTTTACAACGAACTACCCTGGACTAGGAGGGCATTAACCCAAGGTCACAAAAATATCAGGGCTCAAGAGGGAATTAGACCCCACACAAACCACTATTCTTTCCACCCCACTTCTCTGAGAAAATATAATTGAGACTACTATGTTCCTCAAAACAGACCCTCGGCATAGCCCCTGTGAGGGACATCATGTCTCCAAGCCTCTAATAGTCAGTTTCAAGGTTGCTGAGGCCTGACTGCTGCCCCTAGGGAGGAAAGGATGAGTTGATTTAATACACCAGGAGCATGGCCGCCTACAGACTAGGGGTTGGTGATGTTTGAGACTGAGTTTTTCTTGCTTAGATTGTTAAGAGAGTGATGAATAAAATTTTTAATAGAAGGGAAAAGACTGAACTCTTTCTAGACCTATCATTGGAGTTCAAAATAAGGTGGGAGCTAGGAAAATGGCTTAGCCGTGTAGGGATGGGAGGCTGGCAGGGAGTTCCCGTCTCCTTCCACCAGAACTGCCCTTCAGGAACCTAGAATGGTGTGTCTGCTCTGTCCTGCACTCAGATCTCACTGACAAGTCTCACAGCGAAGATCCTGGAATATTCTGAAGTGGCTCCCATCAAAGCCCTTCGAACCCTTCGTGCTCTGAGGCCACTGCGGGCTCTGTCTCGGTTTGAAGGCATGCGGGTAAGTCTGATCTTAAAACTTCTCTCATCTGGCTCATGCCTGTAATCCTGGCATTTTGGGAGGCTGAGTCCAGCAGATCACCTGAGGTTAGGAGTTCAAAACCAGCCTGGCCAACATGGCGAAGCCCTGTCTCTACTAAAAGTACAAAAATTAGCCAGCCATGGTGGCATGCACCTGTAATCCCAGCTACTCGAGAGGCTGAGGCAGGAGAATCTCATGAACCCAGGAGGTGGAGGTGGCAGTGAGCTGAGATTACGCCATTGCACTCTGGCCTGGGTGACATAACAAGACTTCGTCTCAAAAAACAAAAACCTCATCTGATCTGCAGGTGACCCTCCCCATTTTTGCCCTCCAACCCACCAACCCCAAGCTCCGGACCCCTCTCCGAAGGTCGGTTCTGAGTCTATTTCCTGCTCTGAGTGTTACGGTGCTGCAAGTCCTGACTCCCTTAGTTCTTTTCCAAGTCCTTTTGTGGCCCCCTTTTCCCTTGTCACCCATAAACTTCACAGCCACCAGGACTCAGGCATCTTGCTCTTAGTGAGTGATCCTGAATCACGGCTCCAGAAGCTTCTGTCATCTCAGTCCCCCAACTCTGTCTCTTATTGCCGACATCTCCAGAACATCTCAAGTTCTCTGTCTTTCCATGGCAAATGAGTCTTTCATCCGATACTTCATTTAAGAGTAGTGACATCATCAGCTCAGTGCCTCAGCTGCCACCCACTGGAATGCCTCGTCTCTCCAATCTAATGCAATCGAGAGTTTTCAGATTTTTCCCTTCCATCCACCTTATCCACCACCGTTAGCCTCCACCTTGCCCTCACTGCCTCTGTCAGGACAGAATGCTCACAGCCTGAGCTTTGTCTCAGGGACTGCTGATTGACACCCACCTCTTCTTCATGAGTACAAAGGGCTCCCCAGTGGAAAGGAAGATTTTGCTTTGCTCCTTTACCATTGGCTGTAAGCAGTCATCATGGCTTTAGAAACGAAAGTGGGCTTTTGAAATTAACTTGTGCCTTTACAAACACTAGGAGCTGAAGACTAAAATAGTTTGAAATTTATCTTATTTTGTATCTGACAGATTCTCATTTGCTTATTTACAAATGAGCTATTTTGTGAATATGGATTTAGGTTTCACTAGTTCTTGACCAATTCGTACTTGTATTTAAATTGCATTTGTGCTTTATGTGTGATATTTAAGAAGAGCAAGTCAAGGTTCTAGAAGGCTGTATGTGCAAGTACAACACACACACACTCACACCTCTAAATGAGTGGGGTATGCTTGCAAACCCATCCATCTCCTCACTGCAACCCTCCCTGAATGAAGATTAGGGAACAAGGTCTAAATCCATCTCCAGTTGCCCAGTGTCTCTCAGTCTGCTGAGTCTGAATTACTGCACTAATTAACCCACTTCTCTTGCTGCTTCCAAAGGCCACTGGCTCATGAAGCAGCCTGAATGAGTATAGAAAGAGCTAGAATCCAGCAGAGAGAGTGGGGCATAAGGAGATTCCAGGTCCTTCTCTGTCTCCCACCAGGTAGTGGTGGATGCCCTGGTGGGCGCCATCCCATCCATCATGAACGTCCTCCTCGTCTGCCTCATCTTCTGGCTCATCTTCAGCATCATGGGCGTGAACCTCTTCGCAGGGAAGTTTTGGAGGTGCATCAACTATACCGATGGAGAGTTTTCACTTGTACCTTTGTCAATTGTGAACAACAAGACTGAGTGTGAGATTCAAAACTCCACCCGCAGTTTCTTCTGGGTCAACGTGAAAGTCAACTTTGATAATGTCGCAATGGGTTACCTTGCACTTCTGCAGGTGGTGAGTCAACCGTGACATCGACCGTATCTCTTGCTTTGGCTGCTCAATAAGATGGAGAGTGTGGGTGGCCAGAAGATGCTATGTGGGGACCTTGCAAGGAGTAGCACTCAGTGTGAACTAAGGTCATTCTCTGTTCTTCCAGACCACACCACGAGTCTAGAGGGCCTTCCTAGTGACTATGATCTCATGGTGGTGCAATTACACAAGTGTGGGCGAGTAGAATAGCATAAAGGTGGTGACATAAACACAGAACCTGGTCACAATAGACTGGGCTAGTAGAATAGCATAAAGGTGCTGACTTAGAACACAGAACCTGGACACAATAGACTGGGCTAGTAGAATAGCATAAAGGTGGTAACTTAAAACACAGAACCTGTACACAATAGACTGGGCTAGTAGAATAGCATAAAGGTGCTGACTTATAACACAGAACCTGTACACAATAGACTGGGCTAGTAGAATAGCATAAAGGTGGTGACATAAAACACAGAACCTGGTCACAATAGACTGGACTAGTAGAATAGCATAAAGGTGCTGACTTATAACACAGAACCTGGTCACAATAGACTGGGCTAGTAGAATAGCATAAAGGTGGTGACATAAAACACAGAACCTGGTCACAATAGACTGGGCTAGTAGAATAGCATAAAGGTGCTGACTTATAACACAGTACCTGGACACAATAGACTGGGCTAGTAGAATAGCATAAAGGTGCTGACTTATAACACAGTACCTGGTCACAATAGACTGGGCTAGTAGAATAGCATAAAGGTGCTGACATAAAACACAGTACCTGTACACAATAGACTGGGCTAGTAGAATAGCATAAAGGTGGTGACATAAAACACAGAACCTGGTCACAATAGACTGGGCTAGTAGAATAGCATAAAGGTGCTGACTTATAACACAGTACCTGGACACAATAGACTGGGCTAGTAGAATAGCATAAAGGTGCTGACTTATAACACAGTACCTGGTCACAATAGACTGGGCTAGTAGAATAGCATAAAGGTGGTGACATAAAACACAGAACCTGGTCACAATAGACTGGGCTTGTAGAATAGCATAAAGGTGCTGACATAAAACACAGAACCTGGACACAATAGACTGGGCTAGTAGAATAGCATAAAGGTGCTGACTTATAACACAGTACCTGGTCACAATAGACTGGGCTAGTAGAATAGCATAAAGGTGCTGACATAAAACACAGTACCTGTACACAATAGACTGGGCTAGTAGAATAGCATAAAGGTGGTGACATAAAACACAGAACCTGGTCACAATAGACTGGGCTAGTAGAATAGCATAAAGGTGCTGACTTAAAACACAGAACCTGGTCACAATAGACTGGGCTAGTAGAATAGCATAAAGGTGGTGACATAAAACACAGAACCTGGACACAATAGACTGGGCTAGTAGAATAGCATAAAGGTGCTGACTTAAAACACAGAACCTGGACACAATAGACTGGGCTAGTAGAATAGCATAAAGGTGCTGACATAAAACACAGAACCTGGACACAATAGACTGGCTAGTAGAATAGCATAAAGGTAGTGACATAAAACACAGAACCTGGTCACAATAGACTGGGCTAGTAGAATAGCATAAAGGTGGTGACATAAAACACAGAACCTGGACACAATAGACTGGGCTAGTAGAATAGCATAAAGGTGCTGACTTAAAACACAGAACCTGGACACAATAGACTGGGCTAGTAGAATAGCATAAAGGTGCTGACTTAAAACACAGAACCTGTACACAATAGACTGGGCTAGTAGAATAGCATAAAGGTGCTGACATAAAACACAGAACCTGGACACAATAGACTGGGCTAGTAGAATAGCATAAAGGTGGTAACTTATAACACAGAACCTGGTCACAATAGACTGGGCTAGTCAGATAGCATAAAGGTGGTGACTTAAAACCCAGTACCTGGACACAATAGACTGGGCTAGTAGAATAGCATAAAGCTGCTGACTTAAAACACAGAACCTGGACACAATAGACTGGGCTAGTAGAATAGCATAAAGGTGCTGACTTATAACACAGAACCTGGACACAATAGACTGGGCTAGTAGAATAGCATAAAGGTGCTGACTTATAACACAGAACCTGGACACAATAGACTGGGCTAGTAGAATAGCATAAAGGTGCTGACTTATAACACAGAACCTGGACACAATAGACTGGGCTAGTAGAATAGCATAAAGGTGCTGATATAAAACACAGTACCTGGTCACAATAGACTGGGCTAGTAGAATAGCATAAAGGTGGTGACTTATAACACAGAACCTGGTCACAATAGACTGGGCTAGTAGAATAGCATAAAGGTGCTGACTTATAACCCAGAACCTGGACACAATAGACTGGGCTAGTAGAATAGCATAAAGGTGCTGACTTAAAACACAGAACCTGGACACAATAGACTGGGCTAGTAGAATAGCATAAAGGTGGTGACTTAAAACACAGAACCTGTACACAATGGACAAGGCATAGTCCCGTGTTCAGTCTTCAACTTCACAACATTTCCTAAATGGTAATAAATTATATCTAATTAGATCTGTTGTCATAGGTTAGTGATAATGACAGTCAAACACATTCACACCATCTTTCTTTCTCCCATCATCCATTCAATCGTTTATTGCTTGCCCTCATCCACCTGTTCCTTCAGTCCTCTGTTTATTCAAGGGTTAGTGCAATTACTTATACATTTGTCGCGCAGTTACTCTTGAGTTTCTACATTCCGCCAATTGTTCTTGCATGTATTCAACAAATAATCTCTGAGTGGCTCTGGTATGCCAGGCATGGCAACTCAGCCCCGGGAGATACAGCCCAGAACTGGCCTTGGACACTGAGGCTGCATGAGAGAAACAGACTAATAAGTGAATCAAAACAGCTCATCAAGTGCTGTAACAGGCCTAGGAGTGCAAGACCTGAGGGGTCTTTCATGCTCTGAATATGCTGGAAGGCACACCCAGGTTCCAGACCTCAATAATTCTAAAGCTGAAGGCAGGAATGTGGGGGTCTTCTATTCCCAACTGCTCCATCTGGAAGATGTCCCATTCTTACATCATGTGCATGAGCTGGGAAAGTGGCTGAGAAAATGGCAGCCCTGAGAGGGGAAAACAGGCAAGTGCACAGAGCAGCCTGGTAGCAGTTGGCACTAGAACCAGACACCTAGTCACTCAGTCCTCAGACCGTACTACATTCTGGAAGGCTCTGTGTCTTTAATGCCACCCTATTCTTAAACAACCATATGTGGAATTACTTTAGATCATCATATGGGATTAGTTAAGTAACGCAAGGGAACCTTCCCTTTTATTCTTGCTGCCCAAGCCTTTTCCGACTCAGGACTCTGCCCTCTCTCACTTGGTCACCATGGCTTGGGAAGGGTCCAGTGTAGACGAACGGGCAGACACTGAGTGGCCTCTGCTCCTTGTCTCCAGGCAACCTTTAAAGGCTGGATGGACATTATGTATGCAGCTGTTGATTCCCGGGAGGTGAGTCTCAGCCCACTGTGCCTGCAGCCCAAGCCTCTGTGCGTCCTACCCATATCGGTCTGCATTTGAAATGAAATGGAGATGACCCTGGTGCTGGGAGAGGCGATCACCCCCAGCTTCACATTCTGCCTGCCTGCAGCACTGTCCAGCTGGCTCTCCATGGGTGTTTCAGCCACTGAGCCTATTCCCTTTCATGCACACTCCCCAGGCTTCTCGAGGCCTTCCTCTGCTCACTGTTGAGGAAACCATCAGATAACCTCTAAGAGGCAGTTCACGTGAGCCGCTCCCTGGACAGGGGCGAGGGTAGTGGCTGGAATCAAGGGGCTTTGGAAGGAATGAGGTAGAATCTCAGGAACTATCAAAAAAGCCAGGCTGGGGAGACACTGGTGGGGAATGGCCCCTTCCTCCTGTGGCAGGTGCTGTCGATTTCCTGCCACCTCTTCCCTTAGCCCACGTCTGATTTCACCTGCAGGCTGCACTTCTGATTCTGTTTGAAGACTTCAGGGCTTAGGAGCATGTTCAGCAGCTCCTCCCCCAAGGAATGGGGATATAATGTCCCCAGAGGCAACCCTTACCGATAAGTTTTGGAGTCTGTGGACAAATGCTCCAGCTTCCCTGTCCCTTGGTGATCCTGCATGTGCTCTACACAGTCACTCAGAGGACCCAGCAGGATTGCGCTCCAGTTGCCCACAATGACGTCCTGCTTACCAACAGCCTCTTCACGGGCTCTTCTCCCGTTCCCGCTTTTTCTCCCCTACTCCCTCATTCCTGCTTCTTCGGATCACCTCCCAAATAAATCACCTGCGCCCAGGTCCCTGTCTCAGGCTTGGCTTTGAGAGTGCGCCTGAACGGAGACACCCACCCTCCTTCCCACTGTAACTTGTCTGGTCACAGGTCAACATGCAGCCCAAGTGGGAGGACAACGTGTACATGTATTTGTACTTCGTCATCTTCATCATCTTCGGAGGCTTCTTCACACTGAATCTCTTCGTTGGGGTCATAATTGACAACTTCAATCAACAGAAGAAAAAGATAAGTGGGGCTCAGGGGTTTCTGGTTTCTGCCATAGTTCTAAGCCATCTGTTTCCTGTTCCTCAGCCAGGTCTGGCCTCCCGACAAAAGCCAACACTCCTCGCAGCCCTTCACTTTAATATCAGTGCTAACCCTTGCTCCCTCATTGCTGCTGCTGGAAGAGGTGCATTTCTCTCTGCCAGCAATGCCCCGTAACATTCTCACCCAGGGTTCCCATCCCAAAGGGACCTTGGTCCTCCCAGCTGGAACCAGGTGTGTTAGATGTGTTCCAGGTAAGCGCTGGGAGAATACAAACAAGGAAAGAAGGGGATCCAGAACTTGCTGCTCTGCTGGGGGCTCTGATCGCCACAAAGGACTGAGTGAGAACACCTCAGGAAAGGCGATGGCCCAGCACTGGCAAAATCCCAACGCTCCCTGGGATGGGGAGGAATGCTTGTGGCTCCAAGGGTGCCGACTCTGAGGAACAGGAATCCAATTCCAGATAACCTCTTGTGTTTACAAGAAAATAGCAGGGCAATAAAGGTATAAAGCACTTTCATACGATCCTTTCATTTAATGCCCTCCATACCCCTGAAGCAGATAGGCGCTGATTTAGATTTGTGTAGCTGAGATCCAGAGAGAAAAGGAGCTGAATGGATAAGTCACGGAGCACATGCAAAGCGGGGTTTGCATTTCTGACTCAGCTACTTGTGGATGGCTCGTGCTGGCAATATTTTAAGCCTCTCTGAGTCTCCGTTTTCTCATTCATTCAATGGGGGCTAATAATACCTACTCTCTGGATTGTGGTGAGGGGTGAACAAAACCCTGAACAAAGAGCACTGAGGTTAGGACCGAGCATACCGTGAGCACCAGACGCTGTTACTATTAACAATTTAAAATATACACCGAGTGGGGCAGGCATCCCACTCACAGGAAATCCTTGCCCAGGGTTCTGGGCATAAGAAGAGGGCAGGAGAGGCCTGCGACAAGACAGTGCTGATCAGTGTGACCAGTACCCTGGGGAACTTTGGGATTATTCAAGCAATCGTTTCTCCCATTTTACAGGGTGAGGAAACTGAGGCCTAGAGACAGATTACAGAGAGAGATATTAGTCATGGAGGGAGATGAGCCAAAGACCAGGCCGGGATCACTGATAAACTGCTGAATCCTTGGTCAGAATTCTCAGCATGAGCTCACCCGGAGCTCACCTACACCCTGCCCTTGCTCTTTCCTTCTCTGCCCCACAAAGATGGTCCTCCCAGGAAGCGCTTTGTGTCCACAGATCTCAGAACTCCTCTCAGATTCCACAGATCTCAGCCCATTTTCCCAGCATTTGCAGGGACTAACTTTCGCAAGCATGCTGTTGAAATGGGTGGCTTTCAAATCGTGTCAGGAAGATAAAGGTGAGAATTTGAATGAAGGAAATCCAAAGAGTCCCTAAAGAAAAACTCATACCCAACCCTAAGGGAGGAAGACATCTTCGGTGGTGCAGTTTCTGGCACCGTACAGCAGAGGGCAGTGTGACTGGCAGGGCCTCAAGTGAACCAAAGGTCCCTCTGAGACTAACGACCCAAGGATAAGGCAATAATTGTCCTCAGCACCTCCTCTCCAGAAAGGATTTAAGGACTTCTGTCCTAGAGTCTTTGCTTCAAGGTCCTCAGGAAATCCCTTGCTCCCTGGAAGGGACTGTGACTCTAGAAGCCCAAAGAATTTCACTGGAATGAACAGGCCCGATCCGAGGCTCGGACTTCAGCCAACACGTACCTTCTCGTTGAGTCCAGTTTCCCAACCCTCCCCACCCTCTATTTCTGGGTAGCATTTCTGGCTCCCTGGAGAACAGAAACTGGCTTTGCTTTAGAGACCCAGGCAGGGAGTCAGCCATGGAACTGAGTCCCACCGTTCTAATGCTGGTTGTGGCAAGACGCTGCTTGATGCTGGGCTTGGTGTGTCTATCTGCAGAGGAGGGGAGAAGGCTGATGTGATCCTTCCTCTCCTGCCTGTTCTGATTTTGGTATCCCTGGGGGGTTCTTCTTGCTGTAATAACAGTGTGGCCCTCTCTGCACTTAGGGGGCCAGGACATCTTCATGACAGAGGAGCAGAAGAAGTACTACAATGCCATGAAGAAGCTGGGCTCCAAGAAGCCCCAGAAGCCCATCCCACGGCCCCTGGTGAGTCCCAGAGCTTTCCTCTAGCACAGCTTGTCTGTGAATCAAGCATGACAGTCTGTGCCTGCAGGGGCGTGAGGGAGTGCTGCTCCTGAAGGGGAAGATGTGGACGGACTTTGGGATGACGCCCAAGGAATGAGAAGTTCAAAAGAAGCAACTCTGGTCTTCTGGAGGAAACATACCTTCTAAGGTGTTTGAAATGAATCTGTTTGGGGAAGCACTGAGTTTCTCCACCAGTTTTAGGGTTCAAGCCCAGGATTAGAGGCAGATGAAGCTTAGTGACAGTAAGGGTGGTCAGAGCCCAGAGATGAAACTTGTGTGGTTGTACATCATGGTCTAGGTCGCAGTTTTGATCTCCAGTATATTCCACCCCACGCCTACAGGTACAGAGAGAAAATGACCACAGGTCAGCCCCACCCAGAAGCCAAGATGCAGTCACGGTCACGGTCGGGTGGCCCAATAGGAGCCAAAAGTTATCCCACTCTGGAGTTTAAAGATTGGCCAAAAATTAGGAGCAGACCCTAGTTTCACTCCCTTTTTCATAAAAATCTCAAGAGACATGGCTTTGTGTTCCTCTATTAATGCATTACCCATACCACACTCAACATCACCGAAGTTCTCAGCCCTCTGCCAGAAGATAGAAAACATCAAGCCTCTGAGAGGCCCCCACATAGTGCTTTTTTGGGGGAATGGATGAACAGGTTTGGGGGTGAAGATGTTGATGTGTCAGAAATAATTGCTGATCTTCTTCAAATAATTTCTGAGCCATCCACTCCAGTGAATGGAATTGGCACTGTGTCCCTTTACATAAGCTTTTTGCGGCTACGAGGCAGCATTTCTGAAGAAAACCACAGGTTCTGCTCATGGTACAGCTTCGTTAGCCCTTCCCCACACAAGGGCAAAGTCCAAAGACTTTTAACAAAGGAACAAGCCTTTCCCTACATGAATTTTGGAGACATGCATTCCGTTGGCCAAGGTATTAGAATTTTCAAATCGGGGTACAGGATTTGCATAATTCACCTCAAACTTTGTCAGAACAAAAGTTTGTCTTTTGTTTTACAAAGAGAAAAAAGGGATGACTTTTGATACTTTATTTTGAAATAGTGGTCATGAATTTATTACTAGTCTAGATTCTGATAAGAAGTGTTACAAGGGTGAGTGGGGAGTGATAGGAGCTTCAGACCTCTGTAGGGACAGAGCTTTCCTCCTGAATCTCCCACATGACCAAGATAGCTGGATAGGAGTGGACCTGAAAAAAGGTCCTTAGGCTCGTTGGGCATCCCTCCATCAACAAGTGCAATGCGCAGGAGCAGGCTCAAAATTATATGACCAAGTGAAAGACTGAGTCCCAACCATATTGAAGTCACAGGCAATGGGAAGAGGACTCTAAGACTTACTGCGAAGCAAGTAGCTGAGTCTACACTGGCCTTTGCTGGTGGCTGGAGTAAATTTGAATCCACATTTGAACCAGATGCCCAAGGAGCAACCCTTGGCCACAGCATGAAGGTTTTTAGCACCTTCCCCCACATACCACTCAATCTCTCTTTCACATCCCAGCTTCTTTCTTCTCACGGCCCAACCCCAAAGACTGCCAAAGAAAGCTTCCTCCTCTCAAGGAATACAACACTCTTAGGACAAGATAAGTCGTATTTCAAAAAAAAGACCCTGGAGAGGGCGTCCACCTGCAAAGGCATGACCCTAATGTTAAAATTCCAGGCAGTAAGTAGGAATGGGAGATGGAGCCAATGGTCAGGCAGGAAGGCCTGCAGCAAAATCACCATTTCTCCTAATTAAGCTACGACCAAGATCCTCTGAGGATGGCACTGGGGGAGATGCCCCCTTTCACAGTGTGGAGGGGGGAAGTGAAACCTCAGAACCAAGTCTGTTCCTGAGATTCTCCTTCCTTTGAATGAAGGGGGAGTGGATTACTAATTAACTATCAACCTCACGCTAACCTTCATGGAGAAACATGGTTCTCCCCTAATATTCTGGCCCAAGCAGGGTAAACACTCCCTCCTTTGGTCCTAATTCAGCACAGCTGAGGCAAGGCTGGAACATTTCAACAAAACTTTGAAGTCACGAGGTTGCCAACAGAGAAACAGGCACAAAGCAGAGTCCAAGCAGCAACTGCAGGCGGCTGCTCTCTGGGACCCGTAGGCTTTGGCCCATCCCAGCTCCCCACCAGCACCCATACAGCAGGCAACATCTTCAACACCCACATACCCAGTGGCACAAGCCTGATCATCTTCCATCTTCAAAGTCCAGAACCAAGAAAGAAACCCAAGGAAAAAAGAAATTCCCCCTCCCAACTATGACCATTCTTCCCAAGCCCAGCTTGCTCTTGGCCAGATTATTGGCCCTTGAATGTCCACCTTCTCCCCTTAGGAGCCCCAGAGGTCAAGCTGGTCATACCAGCAAAGTGCTGGCACAGGACTTCTGCCCCATCCGTGCGTGGTGCCATTTCATGGCAGAACTCACCTGGAGCACGTAGGGGCCCCACATGCCTCCTCTCATCTCTGATGATGCTCAGTCTCTAAATCTTGTTTCTTCCGTAGCAAAGACTAAGGATCCCACAAGACTGGGAAATATTATTCTCTCACATTCCCTGCTACATCAGTACAAGCAGGTTTCACATACTCTACCTCATGGAAACGTAATAGGCTTTAGAGGATATCACATCACCAATCACCCGCTTCCTCATCTCTGAGAGCACCAAGGGCTGCAAAGGTATGATCCCTGACAATGGGCTAAGCCAAGAGCAGCCAGCAAGCTGCTCCATTCTCTAAAGTCAGAATACCCAGGGCAAACCTGACACCCAGCCACTTAGCAATGCTGTTGCGTGCTCTGTTTAATCAGAATTCACATGACCATGGATGGGCCTGTAGTCTTTCACCATTTTCAGTGATGAAATGGAAGGGATTAGTGCCTTAGCAATTCCCTTCCCACCCCAGGAAAGATGTGAGCCAGCAGTTCTGCCTTGAGCCAAGGCCACTTGGGTCTGATTCTTTGCACTAACCTAACAGGTTCCATCCCCACATTGAAGCAGAAGGCAGGGATCAGCCTCATCACAGCACTTCCCCCTCTGCCTGCTGTGCGGCTCCTGTGGGCTCCCTGGCAGGGATCTGACAGGTTCTTCTCTTCCTCCCTCATAGCCGCTCATGCAGAGGCCTATACGTCTCATACATTCAGTATGTACCCTTTGTACAGAATTGAATTTAATCAAATATGGTGGGGTGACTTTAAATTTTTATTTGAGCTATGGTTAAATCAGAGCTGCCCATTCTGTCTTCCATTCATTTCCCAATTTTCAGAGCATCTACTGCAGCCAGGCACTATGCAGATGCTAGAGTTAGAGCAGTGAGCAAGACAGACAAATTCCTACTCCCACGTGGATTACAGTCCAGTGACAGAGGCAAACAGCCAAAAGTTACACATATATATATTAATTCCTGGCTGCAGAAATTGTCAAGGGACAAAAAACTGAGGTGAAGAGCAAAGGATGCTCAAGACTGAGCCTTGAAGAGCTCCAATGTCTACAAGTTGGATAAAGGAGACTGAATATAAAACAGCATCACAAACGGCAAGAAAAGAAGTGGAAATGTAAGGCATGGTGGGAACCAGGAAAACAGTTCAAGGTGGAGGGGGTACTACGCAGTGTCAGGCGAATGTCCTTGGATCTAATATTATGGGAAGTCATTCATGATCTTAGTGAGAACCATCTCAATGTCAGGATACGGGCAAAAGCTCTGTTGACATGGGCTGAGGAGTGAATGAGGGACAGTAATTGTGCACAACGCTTTCGAGAAATTTTGCCTTGAGGGTGGGATGAGATCTAAGGTGGTAGTTGGAGGGAGATGTAAGTTTCTGGAAGCTTCTGCTTTAAGTTAGGAGTAACTAGGTCATTAGAGATTTATGCAATAAACCAAGAGACTAAGGGTAATGCACATGGACACTAACGTTGCCTAGGATGACAGCCAAGTGTGGGCAAATGTGGCCAAGAGCCTCACCCATCAGCAATGAGGCAGAGGGACCAGGGTGTTGGCAAGCAGCAGTCATGAGGAGGTGGCAAAGCTCCAAAGCAGGAAAGGGTGGTACAAGACACAGGAAGAGCAATGGTGCTGAAGGGTCAGTGGTGAACAAGGAGGACCCCAGGCCTTACCCCAGAGGTACATGGGGTATAGGAGAATGGCAGTCTTTGAAAAGGGGGAGATCGGTGCTAACCAAGGCAGGTGAGCTCCATAGAGGTCAGGAGAAGGTCTGGAGAAGGTCAAAGAGTGGGGAATGGGAGAAAGAGTTGGGATCAAGGACCCACAGAGCAGTAAGATGTTCACAGCACTAAAAGAATAGAGGATCACATCAGGAACTTTTTTAAGACACCATAAAAATAACCAGACATAAATGATCTCTTGGTTATCCAGACCACTCTGCCTCCTTCCAAGATGTAAACAACCAAGATCTGACCCCACGCCCTACGCCTGCATTTGCTTACGCATTCTCAGAGCACCAGAAATAGAGAACATTTGCAAGAATAAATTTCCCCTTTGCACTCGACTTTACTCTCAGCAAAGTAGCTCAAATTAATAGTCCAAGCAGCTCTTGAACTCTTGCAATGTGCAGGGCGCTACAGGAAAACAAAGTTGAGGAAGGTCCAGCCCTTGTCCTCAAAGAGCTCATTGTCTAGTAGAGAAGAAGCAATGTGTACATGAAATGCTAGAACTCGAGGCTGACTGAAAAGGCTGTGGGAGCCCAGAAGGGACAGGGAAGTGTGGTGTCACGTGACTACGCAGTAGGTGGGGCTTAAGAGAGGTGGACTACTCGAGTACTGGAATTTAGACAGCCGAGAGAGAATTGGGAGGGCATTGCAAATAGAGGTAAGGGCACAGACCAGGACAAAGGAAGGGCCTGGTGACATCAAGGGGCCAGGAGAGGTATTAAGGACTTGAACTGGGGCAGTGAGGTAGAGTCAACGGAAAGTGAAATTTTGGAAGAGGTAAGGATAGTATTTGGCTTCTGTTCGGATGTGGAGTGTGATGGACACAAAACTCATCTACAGATAACACAAGTGCCTGGTTTGTGTTGGCCCAAAGGCCCTGATGCCACTCTCTCCTGTTTCCTCAGAACAAGTTCCAGGGTTTTGTCTTTGACATCGTGACCAGACAAGCTTTTGACGTCACCATCATGGTCCTCATCTGCCTCAACATGATCACCATGATGGTGGAGACCGATGAGCAGAGTGAAGAAAAGACAAAAATTCTGGGCAAAATCAACCAGTTCTTTGTGGCCGTCTTCACAGGCGAGTGTGTCATGAAGATGTTCGCCTTGAGACAGTACTACTTCACCAACGGCTGGAACGTGTTTGACTTCATTGTCGTGGTCCTCTCCATTGCCAGTAAGTGGGCAGTCACATCGTGGGGAAGCCCCGCCTCTGCTTGGGGGTCTTTTGGAGACTCTTTGAAAACCAAGGACATAACCAACCAACTTTCTGAAGTACATGTTATATGTTAGAAGAACCCTGTATTTGCAGCTTTCCAAGAGCAGCAGGTTTTAAATGCCTTAGGCTTCTCTCTCAGTGAAGTGAAGAGGTTCTGTTGGCCTTCTCCATGCTCACATGAAGTGTTTTCAGGCGCCTACCGTGTGCAGCTCATGGCCAGAACCTCAGGGGCTGACAGGGAATGATCACTCCTCCTGAGAACCTCAGAGTGTAAGATGATGGAGTTTCCAGCAGACCTTACTTTTATGGTCTTGAAAGTAGGGGGGCGCGTGGTGTAATGTGACGTGAGTCTTAAATTACGTTCTGGAAAAGGAGGTGGGTTGCCATCAAAATGAAGAAAGAGCAGGAGGAGATCGTTCAAAGGAGAGTCTCAAGTCTAGAGTCTGGAATTAAATCTCTACACAACTGTTCTATTAGGGAACATGAGTGACAGAAAAGTCAAGATATCAATGCCAAGAAATGAATACTGTTAAGGCCCAATCTGGGTGCTGTTGAATGACAGACCCAGTATTTTGGGCCCAGTGGTGTTCAGAGAGAATGACTAGACTTAGAGGCTAACACAGGGAATGGAGCTGCCGTGATTGAATACTTACTAAGTTCTGAGCGCTGAGCTGGGCTCCAAGACTGTTCACAGCAGCCCTGTGAAGCAGGTGTTACTATCCTCATTTTATACACTTAAAATTGAGACTCAGAGATCAGGAATATTATGCAAGGTCACAGAGTTTCCGAGGGGTGAAGCTGAATTTAGACCAGGCTCTGTTCTATTTTTTTTTTTTGGGGGGGGGTGGGGGGGGCGGTGCGGGGACAGAGTTTTGCTCTTGTTACCCAGGCTGGAGTGTGGTGGCGTGATCTCGGCTCACCGCAACCTCCGCCTCCTGGGTTCAGGCAATTCTCCTGCCTCAGCCTCCTGAGTAGCTGGGATTACAGGCACGCGCCACCATGCCCAGCTAATTTTTGTATTTTTAGTAGAGACGGGGTTTCACCATGTTGACCAGGATGGTCTCGATCTCTTGACCTCGTGATCCACCCGCCCCAGCCTCCCAAAGTGCTGGGATTAGTTAGCTCAGTTGGTGAGCTCCTGGTGCTCAACTGCCCAAGGCTGTGCACAGGCTCTGTTCTTCTAATGAACGTCTGCCTGTCACCAACAGCCAAGAGACTGTCCCTAGACTTCTTATGGTTTAGCTGAAGTTTGACTGTATAAAGGCCCAATCAAAGCTCACCAGCTTCACCTGGAATTAGAAATGGGTCTTGATGGGTTATATCCTGACCTGCTTACTTTTCATGTCAGGGCATAGCCTGGGTTTGATTTCCCACTGATTTGCTATCGACAGCTGACGGTATCTAAATACAACTTGCCAACATGTCACCAACCTCCCCACCTCGGTGCTGAAACACAGCCTTGGGTCCTATGTATTTCTGGGGATTTCACTTTGTTTCTGTCCTTGTTTTGTTTTGATATTGCTGCTCTATTTTTTTGACACTTTATTGAGGTATGTAAAGAGCTGTGCGTGTTTAATGTACACAACTTTTTATGAGTTTGAGGATAAGTATACACCCATGAAACAATCGCCACCATCAATGCCAGAAACATGTCCATCAGCTCCAAATATTTCCTCCTGCACTTTTATTTATTTATTTATTTATTGGGTACTAAGAATGCTTAAGATTTATTCTCTCCACAAATTTTTAAGTAGACGACACGGCATTGCTGACTGTGGGCACTATGGCATTGCTGACTGTGGGCACTATGCTGTAAGTAGATGACATGGCATTGCTGACTGTGGGCACTATGGCATTGCAGACTGCGGGCACTATGGCATTGCTGACTGTGGGCACTATGCTGTAAGCAGATGACACGGCATTGCTGACTGTGGGCACTATGGCATTGCTGACTGTGGGCACTATGGCATTGCAGACTGTGGGCACTATGGCATTGCTGACTGTGGGCACTATGGCATTGCAGACTGCAGGCACTATGGCATTGCTGACTGTGGGCACTATGCTGTAAGCAGATGACACGGCATTGCTGACTGTGGGCACTATGGCATTGCTGACTGTGGGCACTATGGCATTGCTGACTGTGGGCACTATGGCATTGCAGACTGCAGGCACTATGGCATTGCTGACTGTGGGCACTATGCTGTAAGCAGATGACACGGCATTGCTGACTGTGGGCACTATGGCATTGCTGACTGTGGGCACTATGGCATTGCTGACTGTGGGCACTATGGCATTGCTGACTGTGGGCACTACGGCATTGCTGACTGTGGGCACTATGCTGTAAGCAGATGACACGGCATTGCTGACTGTGGGCACTACGGCATTGTTGACTGTGGGCACTACGGCATTGTTGACTGTGGGCACTACGGCATTGCTGACTGTGGGCACTATGGCATTGCTGACTGTGGGCACTACGGCATTGCTGACTGTGGGCACTACGGCATTGCTGACTGTGGGCACTATGCTGTAAGTAGATGACACGGCATTGCTGACTGTGGGCACTATGGCATTGTTGACTGTGGGCACTATGGCATTGCTGACTGTGGGCACTATGGCATTGCAGACTGGGCACTATGGCATTGCTGACTGTGGGCACTATGGCATTGCAGACTGCAGGCACTATGGCATTGCTGACTGTGGGCACTATGCTGTAAGCAGATGACACGGCATTGCTGACTGTGGGCACTATGGCATTGCTGACTGTGGGCACTATGGCATTGCTGACTGTGGGCACTATGGCATTGCTGACTGTGGGCACTATGGCATTGCAGACTGCAGGCACTATGGCATTGCTGACTGTGGGCACTATGCTGTAAGCAGATGACACGGCATTACTGACTGTGGGCACTATGGCATTGCTGACTGTGGGCACTATGGCATTGCAGACTGTGGGCACTATGGCATTGCTGACTGTGGGCACTATGGCATTGCAGACTGCGGGCACTATGGCATTGCTGACTGTGGGCACTATGCTGTAAGCAGATGACACGGCATTGCTGACTGTGGGCACTATGGCATTGCAGACTGTGGGCACTATGGCATTGCTGACTGTGGGCACTATGGCATTGCAGACTGTGGGCACTATGGCATTGCTGACTGTGGGCACTATGCTGTAAGCAAATGACACGGCATTGCTGACTGTGGGCACTATGGCATTGCTGACTGTGGGCACTATGCTGTAAGCAGATGACACGGCATTGCTGACTGTGGGCACTATGGCATTGCAGACTGCGGGCACTATGGCATTGCTGACTGTGGGCACTATGGCATTGCTGACTGTGGGCACTATGGCATTGCAGACTGCAGGCACTATGGCATTGCTGACTGTGGGCACTATGCTGTAAGCAGATGACACGGCATTGCTGACTGTGGGCACTATGGCATTGCTGGCTGTGGGCACTATGCTGTAAGCAGATGACACGGCATTGCTGACTGTGGGCACTATGGCATTGCAGACTGTGGGCACTATGGCATTGTAGACTGTGGGCACTACGGCATTGCTGACTGTGGGCACTATGGCATTGTAGACTGTGGGCACTATGGCATTGCTGACTGTGGGCACTATGGCATTGTAGACTGTGGGCACTACGGCATTGCTGACTGTGGGCACTATGGCATTGCAGACTGTGGGCACTATGGCATTGCTGACTGGGCACTATGGCATTGCAGACTGCAGGCACTATAGCATTGCTGACTGTGGGCACTATGCTGTAAGCAGATGACACGGCATTGCTGACTGTGGGCACTATGGCATTGCTGACTGTGGGCACTATGGCATTGCTGACTGTGGGCACTATGCTGTAAGCAGATGACACGGCATTGCTGACTGTGGGCACTATGGCATTGCTGACTGTGGGCACTATGGCATTGCTGACTGTGGGCACTATGCTGTAAGCAGATGACACGGCATTGCTGACTGTGGGCACTATGGCATTGCTGACTGTGGGCACTATGCTGTAAGCAGATGACATGGCATTGCTGACTGTGGGCACTGTGCTGTAAGTAGAGCTCTAGGATTTACTCATGTCACATACCTGAAAGTTCGCACACTTTGACAAGTACCTCCACCATGTCCCCTCCTCCCAGCTCCTGGAAACTACCATCTAGTCTCTGCTTCTGTGAGTCTATTTTAGATTCCTTATATAAATGGAATCATGTGGCTTTTGTCCTTCTGTGTCTGGCTTTATCTCACTTGGCACAATAGGAGTTTGGGTTGGTTGGTTGTTTTCCTTTTTTTTTTTGTTTTGTCTTCCAAAGTGAAAGATTCCAAGATTCCAATTTTGATTTTATATTAAAGAAGGGAGCTTGCTTATGTATCATTTATATAGCAATAAAACATAGCCAAGTGCTTAGTTATAGGATGGGGATACCTTAACTACCGGTTCCCGTAACTTACAGGGTAGCACCGTCTGCTGTGGCAGGAATCCCTTATAGAGCTAGAAAATAAGCAGAAAAACCCACATATCAGTCTTTCTGCCCTGTCTCCTTACCTCCCTTTCTTCCTTCCCACCAGCAAGAGATGCTGAGTATTTACTTGTTACAAGTATGAGGACTCATTGTCCCTTAAGATAAGATCCTGGAGCAAATTAAAATATACTGTAGACCAATTGTTTGACAGAAATTTTTACTGGAGTATATAGACAAATAATGTACCCTACGCTGTGGGAACATGTCCTAGATAAACTGGAATTTCACAGAAGGTCTTCCACAAAGATTTTATAATCCAAAATTATAATTATTTCCCAAGTCTCCTTCTACTTTCTTCCTCCTTCCAACACAATATTATGACCTACGTGCACAATGGCAAAGGGCAGGTAGGGGAGAGGGCCCGGGGAGCCCGGCAGGGAGTGAGAGCTTGCTGCTACATCCCTCGCCGTTTTTCCTGCGAGGTGTTGAGCCCTCTCTTACCCAAAGGCCTTGTCTCATCTTTGGTGGAGGCCTTTGGTACAAATAGGACTCCCCAGGTCCCCGAGACCATGCTTCAAAAATCTTCAAGTTGGATATCATATAGAGGGACATACACATTCTTTATATTTCCAACTTTGTTCATAGTCGGAGTTGGGGGCAGAAACTGAGCCCCCCCATAAAACCTATCTCCAGGCCCTTACATAAAGTTCAAACACAGCTGGAACTGAAAGAAACAAATTAAACCGTTGTGCAGACAGCTGGTCATTCAAAGCCATTCTGCTTTGCTGTCATCAAGTTGCCTGACTCCTCAGCCCCCTTGTAATTAACACCAGGCTCTGTACAATTACCCACAGGACTGGGTGCCAGCAATAGAGTCAGCCTTCACAGTAGGAGGTGGGGAGAGGAATCATAGGGAGTCCTGGCCTTCACAGAGCACAGGACCAGGGTGCAGGAAAGGGCATGACCCAAAGGCTGCAATCTCAGGGAGGAGCAGGGTCTATGTCGTAGGCGAAAACAGGCCAAAGACTGTGGGCCTGTGGAATAAACTGTAATCACTTCCAGCTGAACTTGGCTGCAGAAAACAAGGTTTTGACTGTGGAGGGTGACCAAGAGGATATTCTGGGTGGAGGCAAAGATAACATGGTAAGAAGGGTAAGACTGATAAGGAAGAGAGGACTTATGCAACGGACATTTACTGAGCTCCGACTTGGTGCTACCTGCCATGCCAGGCTTCGAGGGCCCAGAGTCCTCAAATACGGATGCCAAAGTGGCAAATCCGTACCAAGCTGAGCAGAGTGCCGTCATGGCCAACTTTGTCCTCATGGCTGGAGATGCTAATTAGATAATTTCCCCTTCTTTTAAAGGCCTGATTTTCTCTGCAATTCTTAAGTCACTTCAGAGTTACTTCTCCCCAACGCTCTTCCGAGTCATCCGCCTGGCCCGGATCGGCCGCATCCTCAGACTGATCCGAGCGGCCAAGGGGATCCGCACGCTGCTCTTCGCCCTCATGATGTCCCTGCCTGCCCTCTTCAACATCGGGCTGCTGCTCTTCCTCGTCATGTTCATCTACTCCATCTTCGGCATGACCAGCTTTCCCCATGTGAGGTGGGAGGCTGGCATTGACGACATGTTCAACTTCCAGACCTTCGCCAACAGCATGCTGTGCCTCTTCCAGATCACCACGTCGGCCGGCTGGGACGGCCTCCTCAGCCCCATCCTCAACACTGGGCCCCCCTACTGCGACCCCAATCTGCCCAACAGCAACGGCTCTCGGGGGGACTGCGGGAGCCCAGCCGTGGGCATCCTCTTCTTCACCACCTACATCATCATCTCCTTCCTCATCGTGGTCAACATGTACATTGCAGTGATTCTGGAGAACTTCAATGTGGCCACAGAGGAGAGCACCGAGCCCCTGAGTGAGGACGACTTCGACATGTTCTATGAGACCTGGGAGAAGTTTGACCCAGAGGCCACTCAGTTTATTACCTTTTCGGCTCTCTCAGACTTTGCAGACACGCTCTCTGGCCCCCTGAGAATCCCAAAACCCAATCGAAACATACTGAGCCAGATGGACCTGCCTTTGGTCCCTGGAGATAAGATCCACTGCTTGGACATCCTTTTTGCTTTCACCAAGAATGTCCTAGGAGAATCTGGGGAGCTGGATTCTCTGAAGGCAAATATGGAGGAGAAGTTTATGGCAACTAATCTTTCAACATCATCCTATGAACCAATAGCAACCACTCTCCGATGGAAGCAAGAAGACCTTTCCGCCACTGTCATTCAAAAGGCCTATCGGAGCTATGTGCGGCACCGTTCCATGGCACTCTCCAACACCCCACACGTGCCCAGAGCTGAGGAGGAGACTGCATCACTCCCAGGTGAAGGCTTTGTGGCTTTCATGGCAAATGAAAACTGTGTCCTCCCAGACAAATCTGAAACTGCATCCGCCACGTCTTTCCCACCATCCTATGAGAGTGTCACTAGAGGCCTTAGTGACAGAGTCAACATGAGCACATCGAGCTCAATACAAAATGAAGACAAAGCCACCAGTAAGGAGGTGACTGCCCCTGGGCCCTCGTGAGGACACTCCAGCCTGGACATGAACAGTTCTGATGTGTCCTTCTGCTCTGTGTTAACTCTTTCCCACCACAGATCACACCCAGCTACAGCCTCACCAATGCATGCCACTGGTCACAATGTCAAAACTGGGCAAGGAATGCAGCTGGTAGCCACCTTTGAAAAAGCCCCCATATACAAAAAGGAGTCAGAAGCCAAGAGCACTTCCACTGTGATTTCCCTTCTGCATTTCAGTATTGGATGATGGGTTCTCTTACTCTCTAGAAAATATCCCCGGTCCTTTTATTTTGGTTGTAATCAGAGATTATATTTACCGAGACAAACTGCTCAGGACCTGAACTTCCAAAGATACAGAACAAGAACGTTGCTGAAGGTCCAAGGTAGTCCTCTGTGAAGCACCACATAGAGATTGGCAATGTTATTTAGGATTTTGCATGATTGCATGTTGAGAGCTGTCGGACACCTTCTCTGACCCAGGGTCACACCTGGGGCCTATGTCATGAAAAGCCTTTGAGATATTCATTAAAATTAATATTTTTAAAGGTATGTCCAGATGTTATACCTTAAAGCATCGTTTAATTTTTCTCTTATTTCTATGACACTGACATGTAGCATGAATCACTTACCTTTCACTTTATGGGATTTCGATATTGCTCAGTTTGAGATTGAGGCTGGGTGGAGCAGGAAAGAGCACTGTTCTGGTATCTGGAAATGCCGGTTGGAATCCTAACTCTTCCACCGATTGCCTGGCTGACCAGGGCCAAAGTCTTTCTCCTCTTAATTCCAATTCCCTGGCTTGTAAAATTGGTGGGAAGGGAAGAAAATGAATGCTTTCTAGAGCCCTCACATCTCATGTTGTAGAGCTCAGTGATGCCTGCCCGATCTGTATGGGACAAACACCCTTTTCTGGGGCTGAAATCGCTGGACCTTTCTGTTGTGTAGCTAGGAAGGCGGCTTTTGAATACATTCCAGAGTCTGTTCACATCTCATAATCAGATGTTAAGAAGGAGAGTTTTTACATTACCCTGGGGCCAGAACTCCATAGTTCATATAATCAGAAGGAAAAGTATAATCATGAGAATGATGATCCAGTAGATAAGGTATGGCCAGTAGTTCCTTTCACTCATCCTGAAAATGTTATTAAGTACCTACTAGATGATGGGCACTGCTCCAGGAACAAGAGATAAAATAGGAGTTAAGCCCCGAAAGATGAATTATACAGGTTGAATGGAGTAAGAACTGTCAGAGGAGTTTATTTAGGCCAAAGGCCTGTTGCAGATTTTGAGATGCAGGGAAGCAAAGACTCCCTATGACAACACAGGACATAGGGATTGTAATGACAACCATCATATTCCATTAACTCCTGGGCCATTCCCAGCCACAATCACAAAGACTAGGCCAGTTCATTGGATAAGATTTTCCATTTGCATAATTACAAGGCGCAGTGGCTGACACATCTCACATGCCTCAAGGATGGAGATTTGCTGAGGCTTTGCTCTCCCTTCTGTCACTATTAGCCCATCAGAAGCCAAAGAGGCTTTCAAGATGCTTGTTGGGAGCTGGCAGCACCCACAGATGCATAAGATGATAATGGGATAGCAGAGGGTCCAAGCCATCTTATCACAAATCAGCTACTCTCTGAATGCCTGATTTATTCTAAAAGATGGGTTCAACGAAACGGCTCTTCCTGTGTCATACCACTGACCCAGGGAGCATAGATGTTGACTGTGCAGCTTCGTCAACATCTAAACCCCATGTGGATGATGAAAAAGCCATCTGAGTTACCAGCCCAAGTGTTTATAAGACAGCTAAGTAGGCAGAGTGTTTGAGCACGAGTTTATTTTTCCAACGATATATGGATGAATTAAGTGTGCCCCACCATCAGACTGGTTCTATTAAAGTAGACGATACTATTTGCAAAAATATTATGTTCCTATGTTTAGGGAACATGATTCAACTTCCCTAAATAATATGCTTTGGGTTGAACTATGTTCCCTTAAAAGCTATGTTGAAGTCCTAATCCATACTACCTGTGATTGTGGCCTTATTTAACATTAAGGTCTTTGCAGATATAAGAAAATTAAGATGGTGGTGAGCCCTAATTAAATGACTGGTATCATTAAAACATGAGGGAAATTTGAGCAGAGACACACAGAGAGAAGAACACCATGTGAAGATGCAGAAAAAACACACAGAGAGACACCAGATGTGTCACACCAGACAGCTGTGTGAAGACACAGGAAGAAATCAGAGAGACACATCTGCAGGCCAAGGAATGGCAAGGATTGCCAAAGCTAGGAGGAGGCACGGAAGGCAAGGTTCTCCCCTGGAGGCTTCAGAGGGAGTACAGCCCTGCCAATACCTTGATTTTAGACATCTAGCCTCAGAAGTGTAAGAGAATAAATTTCTATTATTGTGACCTACCTAGTTTCTGGTAATTTGTTACAGCATCCCAGGAAAACTAATGCATCTCTTATTTTTTCTACACAAATGCATTTCCTGAGTTGTAATGGGAACGGTTGGAAAATGAATGCAATCTATACACCTTGCATTACACAGAGTTTTTGGGACTATATCCAATGCAAATGCAAGATTACCTCTTGAAAATTTCACTATATTCAGTTTCCAAGTTCACCTGGTGGTGCAATCACAAGGTAGAAGGTGGGAGCCAACCTGAAAGCCAGAGCTAACTTCTCAACTTGCCCATAGGAGATGATACTAGAATCTCTCTGGCCCAGAATATGTGAGGATACCTTAGCACCGACGGGACATAAGAGGCAGGACATCGATGCTGACTGTACAAATGTGTGGGACCTGCAAGTTCTCAAAAATATGCCTCTACCATAAACACTGCCCTAACTTTCTATACAATTAAACTGCATGACATATAGACACAAATGGCAAAGAACATTCGGAACATCCAGTTAACACAGAATGGTAGGTACAGGCAGAGCCCTGGTGTGCTGAAGCATTTGCTTAAGGCTGTCCTAAGTGCTAGAGATGCAAAGTATGACTGATCTTCAGTCTGGAGCTGAACACAGGCTGAAGGTTTGCAACACATTAAAAAGACAATTCCAAGGTTTCTAGCAGTGACAGCATAGGTTGTTTGAATCCCCCTGTCATTTAAAATATCAGAAGTGCTAGATAAATACTAGAAAACAATAACATGTAAGTTGGGAGGACATGATTAGGGTAAGAGTTCTAAGAATTTATTATCATCCAGAAGAAAAAAGTAAATGTTTTTATTATCATTAGACTGTGTAACCTAAGAATGAATTACTTAATTATTAGGGTTGCCAGTAACAAATCAGAAATAGAGTATATCATTTCCAAAGTAGGACAAGGGGGGACTATGCTAAGAAACAATTGCCAATCAAAAAAGTAAGGGAAAAAATGGGATGTAGAGACATATGGAATAATGGAAATAAATAGAAAAGACAGAGTAAAGTTGTATATTCAAAAACAAATATATTCATGAAGTACATTAAAGGTAAATGGACTCCAGGAAACAGAGTATCAGTCAAGATTTGTAAAAATTCAAATAAATTCTGCTTACAGAGAGCCATACCTAACCTAAGGTTACCAAATACAAGTACATAGGGCACGTTTACAAAAATCATGTATCTGACCACAGAATAAAATTCAAACAATGTTCAAGGGATTAGAAGCATATGCATGTTTTCAGATCATAGTACAATTTAGCTGAGAATCAATAGTAAAAGGAAGCAGACCCAAGCTTATATAAGGACCCTTCATGTGTGGTAAAGATGGGATTCCATGGAGTGAGGAAAAGATCATCTTCCTGTAAGTGGTGCTACGATGAGTGTGTTTTCAGAAAAAAAAAGAAAAAATATTAGATCCCCACCTAAAACTGTACTCAAAAATCAATTTCAAGACAACCTAAATATGAAAGGTAAATCTATAAAACTTTTAGAAGATAGAGGAAAACATCTACATGATCATAGAATAAAGAAGAGACGGATAGATTCGACTGCATTCATGTCTAGAGCATCGGGTATTGAAATACACCATTAGGAACGAAAAGGCAAACCGTAGAATGGAAGAAAATATTTAAAGCACTTCAACTTGACAAAATAATATTCAGAGGAGATTTTTATTAACTTCTAGAAATCATTGCAAAATAGATAACACAATAGAAAAAAATGGCAAGAGGCAGGAAGAGGCACTCCACAAAAGAGAAAATCTGAACAACTAGTAAGCATATAAAAGTGCGCACGACCTGATCAAGTAATCAGGGAAACGCAGACTAGAATCACAGCGGAACACCAGCACGCATGTATTAGATCTGCAAAAACGTTAGCATCTAAGAAATACCAAAAGATGGCAAAGATGGAGAAAACAGGAAGTCCCATTAAAGAGGCTGTAAATTGGTACAACTACAGCCATGTGTGGCTTAACGACGGAAATACATTCTGAGACATGCGTCATTGGGCGATTTTGTCATTGGGCAAACATCCTCGGGTGCATTTACACAAACGTAGGTGACAGAGCCTGCTACACACCGAGGCTGTATCACATACAGCCTGTTGCTCCTAGCTACAAACCTTTGCAACGTGTTACTGTACTGAATGCTACAGGCAATTGTAACACACCTGTGTATCTAAATGTAGAAAAGGTACAGTAAGAATATGGTATGAAAGATAAAAATGGGGGCCGGGCGCGGTCTCTCAAGCCTGTAATCCCAGCACTTTGGGAGGCCAAGGTAGGTGGATCACAAGGTCAAGAGATCGAGACCATCCTGGTCAACATGGTGAAACCCCGTCTCTACTAAAAATACAAAAAATTAGCTGGGCATGGTGGCGCATGCCTGTAACCCCAGCTACTCAGGAGGCTGAGGCAGGAGAATTGCCTGAACCCAGGAGGTAGAGGTTACGGTGAGCCGAGATCGCACCATTGCACTCCAGCCTGGGTAACAAGAGCAAAACTCCGTCTCAAAAAAATAAAAAATAAAAAGATTAAAATGCTGTGCCTTTGTAAGGTGCTTGCCATGAATGAAGCTTGTGAGACGAAAGTTTGCTCTGGTGAGTCGGTGAATGAGTGGGGAGTGAGCGTGAAGGCCTAGGACATACTGTGCGCTTCTTGTAGACTTTATAAACACTGCATAAAGTTAAGCTACACCAAATTGTTTTCAGTGTTTTATTTCTTCAATGATAAGTAACCTTAGTTTACTGTAACTTCTTTACTTTATAAACTCCTTAATTCTTTTTAATGTTTTTACTCCATAATAATACTTAGCTTAAAACACAAGAACGCTGTACAGGCTGTACAAAAGTATTTTCCTTATATGCTTTCTACAAGCTTCTTTCTATCCATTTTTTTAATTTCTTAAACTTTTTTGTTAAAAACTAAAATACAATCATATTATCCTAGGTCTACACAGGGTCAGGATCATCAGTGTCACTGGCTTCTTCCTCCACGTCTTGTCCCCCGGAAGGTCTCAGGGGCAGTAACACTCGTGGAGCAGCCAGCTGCTATGATAACAATGCCCTCTCCTGGAATACCTCCTGGAGGACCTGCTTGAGGCTGTT